TGACGTCATCACAGCACCATGAAACGAACTTCGCACTATGTACTCTAAATGGCGCCACGAACGTAACCCAGGTCGCTATGACGTCATCACAGAACCTGAACCCTGAATCAAACTTTGCACTATGTACTCTAAATGACTCCACGGACGTGACCCAGGTCGCTATGACGTCATCACAGAACCCGAACCACGAATCAAACTTTGCACTATGTACTCTAAATGACTCCACGGACGTGACCCAGGTCGCTATGACGTCATCACAAAACCCGGAACGACTCAAAACTCCCGCTATGCCGTCATGACGTTTGACAGATGACGTTTGACAGGTGACGGTTGACAGGTGAAGTTTGACAGGTGACGTTTGACAGATGACGTTCAACAGCTGACGGTTGACAAAATGGCGGGAAAACATTTCCCCCCTCCCCTTTTTCTGGTATCCATAATAAAATCCGGGGGCCCCTTTTTTGGGGGCGCAGCCCTGCGGGCCCCCTTTTTGGGGGGCAGAGCCCCACGGGAGCAGGTCCCATGGCGCCATCTGTCGACAAGATGGGGCCATGGCGGCGCATCCACCTTCGTGTCAACGGCGGCGCATCCACCACGTGTCAAGAATGAAAGATTGAGGTTATGGTCGGATTTTGATAGTGAAACCCGCTTTGACTATCTACTGCTGTAACCAAAAAACTATAGATGATTGCTATCCACTGCCAAACATCAACGATATTCTGGATAGGTTGGGAAGATGCACTTATTTTTCTACCATAGATTTATCCTCGGGATTCCACCAAATAGAGATGGATCCAGGATCTATTGAAAAGACAGCCTTCAACGTAGAGAAAGGGCATTATGAGTATCTGAGGATGCCCTTTGGTCTAAAAAATGCGCCTGCCACGTTCCATCGCGTTATGGACAACATTCTACGGGACTTACAAGGAAAAGTATGCCTTGTGTATATGGATGACATCATCATCTTTTCATCCAGCCTCGGAGAACATATAAAAGACCTCCAACAAGTATTCGAAAAACTAAAAGAGTCAAGGTTGAAAGTGCAACTTGACAAATCAGAATTTCTCAGGACAGAAGTTGAATTTCTTGGACATGTGATCACAAAAGATGCAATTAAACCAAATCCTAGGAAGCTAATAGCAATCAAGAAATTTCCAATTCCGAAGACAGCAAAAGAGATAAAATCGTTCTTAGGACTGTTAGGATATTACAGACGATTCATCAAAGGATTTGCAAAGCTGACAAAACTATTCACAAAATGCCTCAAGAAAGGAGCTACCATCGAACACAATACAGAATTTATAGAAGCCTTCGAAACCTGTAAAAACGTGCTATGCAACGATCTAGTATTACAATACCCAGATTTCGAGAAACCATTCATGCTAACAACAGACGCCTCTAATGTCGCAGTTGGAGCTGTGCTTAGCCAAGGCCAAATCGGAAGTGATCTACCAATAGCATACGCTTCTAGGACCTTGAATCCAGCAGAAATGAATTATTCGACAATCGAAAAAGAGCTTCTGGCGATAGTCTTGGCTACGAAATATTTTCGGCCATACTTATTTGGACGAAAATTCACAATCGTAACCGATCATAAGCCACTTGAATATTTATTTAACATCAAAGAACCTGGTTCACGATTAGTCAGATGGAGATTGAAAATGGAAGAATTCGACTATGAAATTCGATATAAGAAAGGCAAACAAAATCTCAACCCAGACGCTTTATCTCGCGTCGAGATCAATCTAACTGAAGACGAATCAATAATTGGCAACCCTGCCGACATAAATGATGAAATTGAAAAATATTTGCAAATAGCTGAATATCGAGATACGACTGAAGAAGAACTAGATTTACTCAAAGTCGTTTTTAATCCTAAAGAAATTGAAGGACAAAATCGCCAAGCAACCAGCAAAAATGCAAATAATATATCCATTATTTCAAATGTTCAAATTAGACCACCAATAATACGAAAAGAAAGTGATAATGAGACCGTGCATTCAGCCATAGAAAATCCAATATTGAATACCTATACCGATAGTAGAAAATTGTATTAATAATTATGCTAATCAAGTAATTTTAATACAAGGACAGAACGAACGCTATCATGTAATTACTTCAAAAATTTTTGAAATCAAACACCGATATACGGTACACTTATCGCAAAACTTCCAAGAAGAAATTATTAAATTTTTCAAAGAATATGTAAATCCCAAACAATTATTTTGCTTGTACGTCAAGAAATCTGATATTAACCTTGCGGACCAAATATCCGTAATTCTTCCGAACACATTTAGAAATCATACGTACAAACTTGCTTTGACAAAATTACTACTAAATGATGTGACAGACAAAGACAGACAAAAAGAGTTAATTAGGTATCATCACGTAACTAAAACATGCCATCGAGGCATAAATGAAGCTCAAATGGCACTTAAAAAATTATACTACTGGCCCAACATGAAAATGGACCTTACCGAATACATAAATAATTGCGACATATGCCAACAAACAAAATATGATAGACACCCACCTAAGGTTAAATTTGCATTAACACCTACCTGTGTTGGGACTTATTTTCACGTTACGCTCAAGCATACCCATTGGAACCTGCTTGCACAGCAACTATCGTACTTGATAACATATCAACCTTTTTAAGCCATCATGGCCTGCCTCAACAAATTACTTGTGACAGTGGCACCAAAGTCTGTGGCACAGAATTTAAGAATTCTTTGCTATTGGATTATTGTAAATTACATAATATTAGTATCCATTTTACGACACCTGGCAATTCTAATAGTACCTAATAGTCCAGTCGAAAGATTACACTCGACATTGATTGAACTATTTAGAGTTCTTAAGTTGAAAGAACCAAAAGCAAGTACAAAACAATTAATGCAATATGCAATATTAGGTTACAACTCATCAGTGCATAGTGTAACGAAACAAAAACCATTCGACGTCATAAACGTACGAGTCAACAGCTTAGATTCATTTGACCTTACCGACGAAGTTATTTTAAATAAATATGTCGATGACCGAAAAGAAAGATTGAAATTAATTTATAACCAAATTTATGAACAATCAATCAATACAAAAACTAAATTGAATCAAAAACAAAACGAACTATGTGAAAACCCACCTGTATATAAACCTGACAGTAAAATATATGTTACTGATAAAACAGCTAAACGTTCTAAAGACAAACCTAGACGCAAATCAAACATAGTATACCAAGACATTGGCAGTAATAAAGTTATTACCACAAAGAAGAAAGTAGTCCATAAATCACAAATTCAAAGACTTAAGCTATTTTCTTCTTCGCAGAATAAAGAAAATGAACCCAAGGAAGCTACTCCTTCTTGCAGCTATGCTGACAATGACCGGAACATCGCTAAGTAGATCCACAGATATAATCCCTCTCAGTAACCCCTTACTTCCATTCCGTTTAGGGAGCTCTAAAATAATTGAGAGTAAACACACATTTTTACATTTCGTAGAAATTAAACCATTAATTAATAACTTAGATACTATTGAATATTCTTATAATACTTTAGAATTACTAATTAATCAAACGTTTAATGATACATCGCTTAATTCGCATCATATTCATATCCATTCGAAGAATTTGCTTATTCATGCTAAATATCTTATCAGAAGAAGAAGTAAATACTAGGTTAAATAATATTAAACCACATAATCGCAATAAGCGTGGCTTAATTAATTTAGTAGGGAAAACATCAAAATTCGGTATTCTAGATTCAGATGATGCTGAAAAATACGATAAAGCAATTATTGCAGAATAGGCTCGTACAGCATATTTTTTTTATTAGATATTTTAAAAGAGCGTATTGAGTTTAGCAGTTGTGCAAAATTTCATAGCTCCAAATTTGAAACACGCGGTGACGTCACCGCATCTCTCACGTTGGTCAAGGTGGTGCAGGTACGCACCTGGTACGCCCGTCACTACGACATACGGGCGCAAGTTTTAGTTTGGAATTTTTTCTATCCGGTAGAACTGGATGTTTTTCTTTCGAACATATTAAAGTATATTTGATTAATTCCCTGACTTCCAATATTTTATGATCACAATTATTATGGAAGTAGCATGAAAAAAGTAAAATTATAGATAGTTCCGCAAACTCGGAAACTGTGTCCCAGTTGACATTGCGTTATGCAAAACCGTGTGTGACGGCCTTTAGCCTGTCTCGACTCGAGAGATGACGTCATAACATCTCTCAGCGATGAATTTCTGAGGCATATTGTTTTAATATTCAAAGACGCATAACTTTTTTAATATTTATCCAATTGAGCTGAAATTTTTTGTGTGTGCTATATGTGAGTAATACTCCATAAAAATATGAAAAAACGGGGTTAATGAAACTTCACTGAACGAGCCCATTGCAGAATCATCAAGATTCTTCTGAAAAAGAAATAAATTTGCAAATATCCCTTACAAAACAAAGCAGCTGATTAACAACTATAATAGCACAATAACTCTCCTCAATGAAAACCAATTAATAATTGAGAATCATATTTCAACTATAGAACAGAATTTTAATAAAAGAATTATTGATCTAACTACTTCCTTAAAAGCACAAAATAGTATTTTTCAAATAATTCTTAATTGTCAAAATCTAATTACGATCTTAGATAATTTAGAGGATGCAATAATGTTTGCTAATTTAAACACATTGCACACAGCAGTAATATCCGCCTCTGAATTAGAACAAATGATTGTAAATTTGACTGTTCTAGATGGCGAAAGTAAAACTGCAAATTTTGGGAATTTGAGATATTATTATCAAATAGCCGGTCTACAAGTAAATTTCTCTAAAGACAAAATAATCTTTGCTATTCATTTCCCAATCTTTCGAGAAGACTTATTTGAAATATTTCGCCTAATTCCTGTTCCAATCCACAATACGATTTTCATTCCAAACTTACCTTACCTAATAATTGGCACTGACCTACAACAATATGAAGAGGAAGCCTGCCCAATGATTCAAGATTTCTACATCTGCCAAAATCATTTAAGTCCACAACTAAATGACTGTGCTGTAGCCCTGATCAAGAAAGCAGAAATCGAGAACTGTGAAGCTGTCCAAGTCAACGTAACAATGCCGATAGTGCAACCTATCACTAGTAAATACGTCTTGGCCATATCAACCGAAACAAATCTAAAGATGCAGAAGCTGTGCCAAAATAATGAAATCGCATTTATAAATAACCCCAGCCTAATTGAAATTCCAATAAACTGTGGGATAATTATTGGAACCATCCAAATCTGGAACAAGGAAGAGTCAATTGAAGGAAGACCTCTTTCTCTACCTCCAATCAAAATCGAAACATGCACGTCACCGATAAGGAACAAAACAATCCTTAAATTGAATTCTGTAAATCTGGACAAAATCAAGGATCTCCAGAAACAATCGGAATTACTGATGCCCATCAAGCCTGAAGCTATCCATCCAGCTACTTGGAGTATAGCTACCATATGTACCATCATCATCGCTCTAACAGTAATTTGGCAACTCTACAGAAGAAGAGGCACCCAACTTCGTGAAGTCATCCAAGAAAGAATCATCCAGAAACCCGAAAACAAACCTCAATCCGTATTGTTTTCGACTTCGGCGGGAGGAGTTATGTGAACAAAGTTGCAGAGTTGGTTTTAATTACCGAGAAGCAGACTCAGCAAACCAGAGCTTATAAATATTGTATTCATGCTTTCAAACGTCATTCTTCATTTAAATAAGCTTTAAGCTAGAACTCTTGTTTGTAATTATCGAAATAAAATTGATTTTCAAAAACAGTATTTTGAGTTTAAAATACTTAAGTTGATGGTGGCCCAAAGACGAAACGTCAGATTTTGGATTTGATGGTAGCATCTTGTAGGGGAAAAAAAGTGGCTATGATGAAGTTATATTTTTTTTGAAATATCACTTCAAATAAAGTCAGGAGAAAATAAAAACAATTTTTCAAAATTTCGGTTTTTCCCTATATCCCCGGAAGTTAAGCATCAAATTACGCAACTTTGCTTTACTTTAACCAACCCTGTATCTCTCACCGTTTCCGAGATCTCAATGATGTGGCTCGAATTTGAAACACCCTTGTTAAAAAATATAAAAATAAAGTAAAATTTATTCAATAACTGTTATTTTTTACACCATTAATATGTAGAAAAATATACACTTCTAGTGGGTGATACGTTTTCGTCACATAGTATATTTGAAATACCGTAAAATGGGGTTATTTGTGACGTCGGGGTTACTCGGGACGCAACTTCGGATGTTCTAATTTTACTAGCGTCAACAACGCAAATATAAACATATCTTCAGTTTAATGTTTTGGTTAGTTGAAGAGCAACCTGTTGATGATTAAATTAATGAATTCTTTATAAATTAATGATATTTCAAAAGTTTAAAAAAAAACATAAGTGGTGGTGAGAAGCAAAGCAAAAATAAATGGTCGAAAACTTTATCTGGAAGAGGGAGTCAAAAGGTAAACAGGTAAGTCCAATTACACTTTTTAGTTAATTTTGTATGTTTTCTAAATACTGCCAATTTCGTTGCCCGCTTTTAGACAATTTTTTTTAGATTTTTAAATATTTTTTCAAAAAAATTCCTGATTTTGGGTAACTTGGGACAACCATTGTCCCAAGTTAGGCCGTGTCCCAAGTAACCCATGTTATTTAATCCGTTTTGTTTTCAGGGGTCAACATGCCAAGAAAATATATTCGCAAAGTAGGTTCTAATAAATATCACGCCTTCGAAGGAAACAATATGAAAAGTGCCATAGAAGACGTACAATCTGGAAAGTCCTATAAAACAGCAGCCGACAAATGGAAGGTAAACAAATCAACTTTACAGAGAAGATGTAAAAATCATAATTTAGGAAGATATGGAAGACCTACAGTTCTGGAAAAAGCGGAAGAAGATGAACTTATTAGAGCAGCTGAATGGGGATTTCCTTTAACTCACTTTGAAATAAGACGCATTGTGAAGCAATCAGGCCTATGATGTATCCTCTCCTGCTATTTTAACAGTTGTGTTATAGCTCAAAATCTATACCTGTCTCTATTTTTACGTGTAGAATAAACAGTGACAGATAACTTAAGGTTGCTGTTAAAATAACAGAAAATGATACATCATAGGACTGAATATCTAGATATTAAGGGTGTTGTAGAAAGACGATTTAAAGATAATTTCCCTGGTCCTGATTGACACCCACCATTATTTTTAATTTAAGTATTTTTGCATATATTTTGCATATTTTTATAATGAATAAATAAATATTTTTAATAAATTGATGTTAACCCAGATTTTTCATCGCTCTAAATAATTCGCTGAACAAAAAATTTCAACTCAAGATGTGTGCTGGGGTATTATTTTTATTTTTCTGCTGTCCCAAGTAACCCCTGAGTAGTTTAACATGCATTTTCGGTGTAAAACCGGTACAGTCCCATCTAACCCCAATGCGGGGTAACTTGGGACAGTGAATATTTTATTTTTTTCTACAAAATGTTCTTACAGTAGGAGCCATTTATGGTGCTTTATAGGTTAAATGCATATGAAAGAAATTTTATACACAGGAATTGTTGCTCTGCCTTCCTAAAAACTCTGATAAATTACCACATTATTGAAAAAATGGAAGTGAATTTGTCCCAAGTAACCCCATTTTACGGTACCTAAAGAAAATGGAAGATATAAGTAATTGATAAGAAAAAAAAATGTCTAGCCTGTACTCTCAAAATGAAATAAATAGCAACGCGAAAAGACCTCAACCACCCCTGAAAGCATAGAAACGTTCAAAAATCTTCTTAAAAACAAATCCGCTGTCCACACACAGTCCACTGGACGTCCTTTAAAGTATCCAAGAACGAGCAATGGCCGTTTTTCTCTAGTGCAAATGTCACAAATTCAAACTTCATGTACCTACAGAGTGACCTTCAAACTCCACATGCTATGAATTTTTTTCTTATTCTGTAGCCTAGGCTTCGAAAATAATACAAAATGACGTTGGAATTTTTCCACCTACACTGTTTCAAATTTTTTTCATACATAATACCACAAGAGAAAATAGTTATTTATGCAACAAGTGAACCTTTTTTCACGAATGTGAATTTTGACGCACGAGCCGAAGGCGAGTGCGACAATCACATGAGTGAAAAATAGTATATTCTTCAACGTGCATATAATGATGGCTATTATTCACGAGAATGAAAATTCAAACACGAGCCGAAGGCGAGTCTTGGAATCATTCGAGTAAATAATAGCCATTATTTGCGAGCAGAAGACTATACTTTCTCTTCGAACTTTTTGAAAGAAAATCATCAGTTTTTGTAAGAAATAACAAGTCTAAACCCGCCTTAATTCTTTTGAATTGAAAGATTCGTGATCTGACAGCAGATGCCAGTCATGTTTTGTTTGTATTGTCTCGTTGCGGCCTGTGTATTCCGAAAATATGGAAAATTTGATTGGTCGACAGGCCGTGGATTCCGGTTTGGAATCCACGGGGCGAGTAGAATCCATATCATTAATCAGTTTAATATCGAGCAAGAATGAATGTATTATTTAATAGTCGAAAGAGAAAGGTGCTTTACGCACGTATTGCATACAAATTTTTTTCTACTACCAATCAAATATGTGTAAAAAAATAAATTTGGACAAAGTCTTTACGTACTAGTGCGTAAAGTATTTTCACTTTACGCACTAGTGCGAGAAGTAATTTACCAGAAAAATAGTAATTTGGCAGTGTTGACATCTGTCATTGACATTACTTTACGCACTAGTGTGTGAAGTGAATTACTTTAAGCACTAGTGCGTGAAGAGAAATTTTACGTCTTCTGAATAGTGCGTAAAGTGAGAACTTTACGCACGGTAGTAGAAAAAAAAAATTGGCAAAACTTTCGACTGGTATGAAAGTTTATTGCTTGTGGTTTCGCCAAAAAATTCATGAGGGAAATTACCAGAAAGCAACAAACCAGGAGAATAATTTTGCCTACATAATTTTTTCTTGAGTGGTATTCGGCTGGGCTACTCCACGGGAAAAACAAGCCAAATTTTCATTGGGAAAATTTATTTTATTTTTTTGACACTTGCCAAACTCACTAGTTTTTAGCATTTTTAGCTCCAACCTAACAAAAGGCGATTTAGCCTCAGTTTGGTACCCCAGTTTGGTCTGTTAAACAGGTACCATTCAATTTCGGATGGGTGAATGATGCTGTCACAACAACTTTGGTAGGCCCTTTGGTCTGTCAGATGCTATACCGCGGTTTGACTGGGTAGTGGAGGTTTGGTAGCTTCCTGTTTCTTTTTCTCTCATGTTCAAATAAACATGTCAAAGTCAAAATGTACCAAACGTCCTATCCACTGAATTCGGAGGAGATTGTTGAGCTATGTCACTTATACGTACCAATTGGTTAACCATTCGCCTACCAAACAACAGATGAAAAACTGGGGCGAAATCGCCTAAAATTTTGTCGCTAGAACAACAGGGCAAATTTTCATTTGGAATATTTGCTTTCTTTCTTTGACATTTGTCAAATTCACTCGTTTTTCAAAATATGCTCCAACCTAACTGTGGACAACCATCGAAGGTGATTAAAATTAACACCTGTACGTTAAGTGTGCTGGTTGGAATGGTGAAAAACGTGGAATTGGAATTGTCAGATTTTGAGTGAGAGAATTTAGTTGTCTGTTAAAATATCGGTTTTGAAATAAAACTCTTTGTACGTTTTAAGTAGTTTCTGTACCCAGTAGCATGACACTAACTGAATTTTGTCGCTGAAAACCATCATGTTTGTTTTGTCCAGGTAGCAGAGAGTAGGTAGGAGTTTTGTCAGTAGGAAAGAGGCCGTTCCTATGATATTTTGCTAGTGTAAAACACTCTAGTAGCCAAGTTCTGATGTTGATGTTGGAAAGATGTTTTTAAAATATTTTAATGTCTCTATAATATTGTTTCGGTGTTCACAAAAGCAATATACCTAGTATTTTTTATGTGTGGTTTCTTAAAAAAATATTTTAATAATGTTTTCAAAATTTTCCACAAAATATCCAAAAGAACGTTCTAAAAATATATTTGTATATCATAGAAATGTTTTTGAAATACCTATCCTATTCTCTAAACTATCATACAGATAATCGTTGATATCAGAATAATTTTTGGGCTACCTACATTAGGTTAGATTATTTTTCGTTTAGGTGGGAAAAGATTTGATATCATGATGTTAGTGTATAGTTTGTTTGCTGACTTGGTAAGTTTATAAATTTTTTTAAATTGTTTCGTTGAATTTATTTTTTTTTAAATTTTTATTTTTGTTGCCCTATATGTGTTGTTGAAGCTGACTGCTAAATGGGAGAAACATCTGTTCTTGTGACGGGTAATCGGAAGTTGACCTAAACTATAGATTGTTTGTACCGATGCTATCATAACGTGCAGGCAGTATTAAACCTGAGAAGCAAATTGGAAAACCGGCAAATTTTGCCTCTAAATTATTAGCCTTTCATGAAACTCATCATATTGGATAATAATTTGGAAGCAATAATTTTCATTAATTTTTTGAAATTGTGTGATGTGCTGATTAAAATCTATAGAGTCGTACTCCTTTGTTTTTTTTTCCTTATGTGTTTTTATCCTTCCTAACCAGGTC